CACCGTCATATTCGTGGGGTGGATTGCGGGAGAATCGGGTCGGGCTCGAGGAAGCTGTACTAAGTGAGCCAAAAAAAAAAGACCACATATCGAAAAGAGGACCTTGGTTTCAACATTGATTATGTGCCTGTGTGTTGAAATTCCTCATTTGATGTTCTGCACATACATCTCGAAACTGAAAGCTTTGGTATATCACAAACCTAGATAGCATAATGTTTCCTAGGATGATCCACCAGAGGCGACCTATAATCCTCATCGTCCACATTCATCATCTGAATACGATGCTATGTCATGTTCTCCTCGGTCTGAGACTCGATGTGCTTGTCCATTCGCGTTTCCTCTCCAAACCCCTCCTGGCTATTGAGGGTCTCGCGGGAAGTAGACGAGTCGGGATCTTTGACCCCTGCTTCCTCGTCATGCCGCAATCTCTCTGTCTCCTGTCACTTGTCCTCAGTCGCAAGCGCAGCTTCTTCGCGCTACTATATGCGTGGGATATGTCCAAAAGGTACTTAAATACAACATATCAAACTCTGTTGTATGTATTTTAGGGCTCTTAAACAATTCTACATATGTAATTAATTGAACTACTACTACGGAGTAAGAGCCTAAATATATGCTATATATATAGAAGTGTAAAGAGCACCTTGAAAGCACCCGATATAAATATGGTATATAATTCATAATAATCAGACATTCATGTCATTCATCCAGACATAAACGTCTATCGCTCATGCAACGAATATAGATACAATAAAACTGAAATCCAAGCTACTGCCGTGAGCTATCTATGCAAGAATCAATTCCCACCCTAGCTCCTCGACAATGTCTAACCAATGCACATTTTTCTGCCGATCCGTCCCAATAAACCGAGGATCAAAATTAGCATCCTGTCTCGCCCACAAGATCCCCAATAACTCCTTTGCGCGCCTGACATTCCCAATCCCAAAGTTATCCTGTAGCTTGCCCAAGGAACGAAGCACAACCTCTCTGTCCGCTACGTTATCACTCTCACACCCGGATATAAAGAGCGGGAACGTGAGGGCCGAGTACTCGCAGTGGTCACCCAGCGGGAAAGTTTCGATCCGGCCAAGACAGCGGCAGATGGCGACATTTTTCGGTGTGGAGATGAGAGGAAGCCAGTCTTGTGCCGAGAGAGGGGGGTTCTCTTCTAGGTGAGTGGTGACAATAGTACTAGGGCTGACAGTGGGAGAGTCATCTGGATGGGCTCTGCTAATGCGCTCCATGATTGAGTGGAGGTAGACAAATGCTGCGTCGCGGAAACACTCAGCTACGAGTTGAAGCCGAGTTAAGGTTGCTGGTGATGTCCCTTGAGGAATTATATATGGGGTTGAAGTGTGAGACCAGGTGAGGAGAGATTCGTTTCTGAGATGTGGCGTTAGTGCGAATATTCGACTGGACTATTCTTTTATAACCAAAGAGAGACAAACATGGATGCAACGCTAAGTTGAAGAGCCAACGAATCAGCTTGGAGGGAAGGCAGCTCTGCGATGCGTGCACATAATTTCAGGAGCTCCTCGGTGTATCCAATATATATATCCAATTTTGGGATACCGATATCACTGTCGACAGATATATCCGAAGAAGTGATAAAGTTTCGGTTGCTGATCCGGGCCATATTGTAGGCATACACGAATCTAGATGTTGATATATTACGTTAGCGTTCGGCAATGTACCTCGCAGGTTATCACACATACAGTCCACGCAGGAACTCGGCTGCCTCTCGATCCATCGAAGCAAATCCACCGCGTGAAACGATCAGACGTTGCAATCCATTGAGATGAACAACCCACTGCTTGACGCTACCACGCACGATCTCGTATTTGCATAGGAGACCGACTGCCAGCATGGCATCGTCAGGGAACACCTTTGTTGAACACTTGTCCAGTGCTGTGCGGAGTCCGTTGAGCGTTCCACTATAGTATTTGACTGCGGCTGTATGGGCACTAAAGCCGTGGGAGCGATTTGCTAGATGAAGGGCAGAGACGGCACATACGGCCTTCATCAGCAGAGGTGATGACATTGCCCTGGGAATCAACATCGACCGAAGGGGATTACCATGGCTCTCTAAATTCGCTAGCAGTCGAGATCCCTCCTCCATGTGATATTGGAGATAGTGAGTCTCATTCGTTGAGAGATGACTGATGTATCCTTGAGGCTGTGGGATCACCTCGATAGAGGTCTGCAAATCAATATTCGAACCAGGCCTGTATTTCTCTACAGCCTGGTCCGGACTGCTAGCTGCCTCATATGGTACATATTCTCTAGGAGAAGATGGAACAGACCAGCTCAGGGGAGTCCCCGACCCAGGAGATAAACGAGTCTCGAGCCATGCATCTGACAACGGGAACAGTGCAGGCGAAGGCAATTGAGATGGCGAGGATGCACTGAGCCGTCGGCGCTTTGAAGTTTCCGCCTGCGAGAATACCTGCGCCGATGGACTAAGTGGCTCTACCCACATTGAGCCATAGCCCTCGCATGCCCTGCCTTGCTTGAGACAATTGTTGCAGCTGATCGAATTAGTTATGAAATTGAAAGTTGATTTTAGCACGCACCTTGGTTTGGCCTTATCACAGGCTTTGCGCCTTCTTTTGCAGGTTATGCATCCTGAGCGAGTCCATGCTGTGCCAGATTGCCGTGCCCTAACCTTCTTTGGGGCGGAAGTGGGCTGACTGGGTGTGAGGGAAGACGATTGCGCCGAGCCATTCAGAGGAAAGACATTCATAGTGTCAAGGAGTGCCTAGGTTATATGGAGATTCTCTAACAGGTACTAGTGACGGCATGCTTATCGCAGATATTGGACAAATTTGGGCAAGCATGCGCTGCTGCGGGCAATAACCCGCTCGATTTCTCGGAGAGTTATCGATAGCAAATACCACTAGACCGAATTTGGACAATTTCACGCGACCCCACACTCACGTGCTATACCGATTGTGGATTAAAGATCATGTGACTCTGCACTTTAAATGATCTCCTCACAGGCTATTCCGACAGAGAACAACCCTGGAGGGTATATGCTAGCTTAGATCATTGAGATAGATCTAGAATAGTATTTTGAGTGAATTGAGGGAATTCTTTCGCTATAATTTTTGCCTCGTATATCCATGTTTAATCCGTTTTGCCCTGATTTACCAGAGCCAAGACTCTTCAACTAACTGTCCTGGTTACTTTCCCAATTAGGGAAGTCCATCCAGAACTTATGTAACCTGATAAGATCCCCGGGCCCCGGGCCCAATGCGAGAGATATTTAAGTGCAGGCATTGAATTTAATCCCTCATTTTCAATAGTTCTGCCTTTTTCACTTGTCTCTTCTCACTTCTCCGTGGGCTCGTGTGATATTTCCTTCTCTAATACCTTTCACAGCCGCCTCATATCTCTACCTCAGAAGTGTACCCCAACACCGCCAAAATGGCGACCAACTACGGCCCGCACCCATTCGACCCAATCACACCGGAGGAGATCAAGCTCGCCGTACGCATCCTTGAGGCGACCTTCCCAGGCGTCTCTCTGCGCTACAAACGCATTGATGTCAATGAGCCTATCAAGAAGGATGTTATCGCATATATCGAAGCAGAGCGTCTACGGCGTCCACTGCCCCCACCTCCGGCCCGTCTCCTCTATGTGCTCTTCCATCGTCTGGACACCGGCGCATTCTACAAGGCTATTCTCAATGCCGACAAGCGCACCATTGTCTATGCCAAGGAGCTTCCCAAAGGTGTTCAGGTAAGCAGAGCTATCTTCCGGAAGCAAGCAACGAGTTTAACTAACAGTTCTACTTTATAGGGTCCCATTGATATCGATGAAATTGCCGGGATTGAAGAGATGTGCATGAAGCACCCCGCCGTACTGGCTGAGATCGAGAAATTGCAACTGCCCGCGGGCGTCACTGTGTGCAACGACCCTTGGATGTATGGCACGGACAACGACAACGAGGACCGACGGCTCTTCCAATGTTTCATGTACATGGTCGAAGTGGATCACCCCCAGAACAATCACTACTCTCTGCCTTGCAAATTTTCACCGGTGTTCGACGGTCTCACTCAGGAGTTGATCCGTATGGACTACCTGCCAGGCGGTGCTGATTTCGAGACTACCTCTACCCAGCCTTGGAAGCCTGTTAAGACTGTCCAGTACGCCCACGACCTCTTGGATGAGCCCCTTCGCACCGATCTCAAGCCCTATATCGTACAACAGCCCGAGGGTCCTTCTTTTTCGGTGGATGGCAACTCCGTCTACTGGCAGAAGTGGCGCTTCAGGGTTGGTTTCAACGCTCGCGAAGGCTTGATCATCTACAACGTCACATATGACAACAGAAACCTCTTCTATCGATTGGCTGTTTCTGAGATGACTGTTCCCTATGGAGGTAAGTGGGATTGGAGCTCTATCACCCCTAACTTCCAGCGGATCTAACTAATGTAAATCTAGATCCCCGAGCCCCCTACCACCGCAAGCAGGCGTTTGATGTCGGCGACACTGGTTTTGGTATGAATGCTAACCAGTTGGCTCTCGGGTGTGACTGCCTCGGCCATATCAAGTATTTTGATGGCTACCGCAACGACTCCAAGGGCAACCCACTGCATCTGAAGAACGTGGTTTGTATGCACGAACAAGATAACGGTCTGCAGCATAAGCACACTAACTATCGGTCCGGTGCCGCTACCGTTGTGCGTAACCGCCAGTTGGTCCTGCAGATGATCTGCACTGTGGCCAACTATGAGTACATCTTCAACTACATCTTTGATCAAGCTGCCAATGTCGAATTGGAAGTTAGGGCTACCGGCATTCTTTCCACCGTCCCATTCGACAATGAGAACGGCCAAACCGTCCCTTGGGGTACTAATGTCGGTCCTGGTGTCATGGCTCCCTTCCACCAGCATATGTTCTCGCTACGGATTGACCCTGCTATTGATGGATTTAAGAACACCATCTACTACGAGGACAGCGTCCCTATGCCAGAAGACGAGAAGAATCCCTACCTTGTGGGCTATACCTCCGAGTCTACGGTGATGCACACGGCAGGCACAGCGAACACTAGCGTGGATCGCCACCGTGTCTTCAAGATCCGCAACGACAATATTACCAACCCAATCACCTACAAGCCTGTCGCGTACAAGCTTATGGCTGCTCCCAGCCAAATGCTTCTGGTCAGCAAGAATGCCCACGGCTTCCGCCGTGCTGAGTTTGCCACCAAGCCCATCTGGGTCACCAAGTACCAGGATGATGAACTGTACGCTGCAGGCGAGTTTACCAACCAAAGCCGCCGCGCCGAGGGCGTCGAGACTTGGGTGCAGCGTAAGGACAACACAGAGAACGAAGACGTCGTCCTTTGGCACAGTAAGGTTTCTTCCCCGTGACTTGAGCTGTACAGTACAACTGACAAACCCCCGTAGCCTTCGGTCTTACCCACAATCCCCGCATTGAGGACTTCCCCGTCATGCCGATGGAGCGCGTCAGCGTCATGCTGAAGCCCGATGGCTTCTTCAACAAGAACCCTGCTCTTGACGTCCCGCAATCCTCCCAGTTGTTCAACAGATCTTCACTCCACCCCGAGGAGCAGCCTGCTGGTTGTTGTGCCAGAGCTTCGTCTGCTGGCTCCAAGGCCAAGTTGTACAAGCGCATTGAATAATTCGCTTTCTTTTGAACCCGTATATACCCCATACCCCATACCCCGTCCCTCTGTTCAACCACATATTCTTGAGTGTATTTTGTCGATATGAATCGGCTTGTTGACTTCTTTTGCTTTTTTCCCTCTTCATCTTCGCCCTTTTGGTTGGGCTTAACGATATTTCATGATCTACCATCACAATAAAACGCAAGTCTTGATCAATCGTCTCCTACATATAATGCAATAGATATTTGAATGCAAGAGTATGTAGCTAAATATTAGTAGATTTGTAGTTATATCCATAGTTGAATTACTTTGTTAGTAAACTGGTTTATATTGACAAGGAAGTAACAGTTAATAATGCGCAGAGAAAAATGGAACAGCAGATCACCTTACGTGAAAGGGTTTATGGAACGCCGGATTGAAACAAACCTGGATGAAAATGGACAAGAGAAAAGAGGTAGAGCAGAAGGCAATGAAAAAGAGGAAGAAACCCCATATAGATCAAACGAAACAGGTCGCCAATATCATTCCTTCATATGATGACCAGCATGCCGAGAGCCCGCAGTGGCGTTATCGACGGCCTGAATCAGAGCTATGAGGAGCATGGCTCTCAAACAAATCCTCAAGGTATGCGCTGGGAGCACGACCCTGCGGTGCCTGGTTCAGGTTCAAGGAACTCGTCGAGGCACCCACATAAGAATGGCGCTGATTATGCGAATCATGATAGACACCAGTAGGAGGCAGAGAAGGCGATGAGAGACCAGCAGTGGGCGAGTATGGAAGCTCTCCACTTGGCGCGGGGTTGGAGCTACCGGCAGCAGCGTAGTATCCAGCAGGCAGATATGTTGAGCCACGATTTCCCGTACTTCCTGCGGCGCTCAGACTCGCATGCGATCCAGTAGGGCCGCCTGCGGTGGGCGAAAAGAAAAGACCGCTGCTTGTGCTCGGGACCCGGTTGGGCTTGTAGCTTGCGCGAGTGGCGGCGCCGAGTTTGTCGAGGGATACGTCGACCGCCGCGGCGGCGGAGTAGGGGGTCGATCGCTTCTTTCTGCTGCCGCGTAGCAGGCGTTTGGATTCTGAGGCATGCATTACAGCGGCGCGCCGCACTGAGCGGTTTACGGACCATGCGACCATTGCGCGCCAGGCGAGCAGAGTCAGGCCGATCAGCCCTAGCGCCGCACCGACGGCGATGAAAACTGTGCCTTCTGGAGCATTACTCTCTTGCATGTATGGGGCGTTGGCTGTTGGTGGTATTGTCACAATAGCGCCGGCGGTTGTGGTGTTGGAAGAGGAAGAGGAGGATGTTGATGATGTGGTTGTCGTGGAGACGGACGATGTTGTCGTACTGCTGTCGGACGTTGTGGAGGAGGAAGAGGAGGATGTGGTGGTTGTATCCATGGTTGCGCTTGCAGAAGAAGATGAGGTACTCGTTGTAGAACTTGACTCCGATTTGGAAGTGGTTGAAGATGTGGTGGTCTCATTCACTCTAGAGGTGCTTTGAGTGGTGGAGGGATCGTCGGTGGTCTTAGCGGCATCGGTATCCGTTGTTGTATCATCCGCCGGTACAGCAGACACTTGAGCAGCGATGGCAATGAAGAGAAGCAGTAAAAGAAAGAATGACGGCTTGGCTTTCCCAAGCCCCTGCGGGAAAACTCGCATGGCGGCGTAAACAACCGATCAGCTGCTTCTCCACAATGTGCGGGTCACTTGGAGTAGGCGCCGATCCCAACGATAGCGAGGGACAAAGAAGATTATCGATCCTTGTCAGCTCGTCAATGAAGTCTGGGCAGCAAGGCTAAGATCTCTGCTGATTGCGAAAATAACTGCGATTCGTCCCTTTTGAAAGATTGGATGCTGAACTCAGGCTGCAGGTCACGGATCCACAATCAACGAATTTGCAAATGGTACGAGTGCCTTGTGAATCTCCGATAAACGAATGACTGTTATTAAGTGAGGCCAGCAAGTGAGTGAAGACCACAAGAAAAGGCCTTCTTAACCGAAAAGACGCCAACGCTAAAGGAGAGGGGCGCCGTAGGCAAGACTGAGACTGTCACCTGACAGCGTCCAAAAACAGATACAAGGACTTGCGCATTTACGTCGGCAAATCTAACATTCGAAGAACTGGGCGAATATGAAATATCATACATGGGAATACGAAATAATTGTCCCTGAACCACTGACAAAAAAGGGAAATCAATTGCAGCAATGGAGATGTATGCCAAAACCATAATCCAACAAAGCGATACAAATCACTGCGCTTTCTTCTGCACAGCAGCCGAGGTGTCCTTCTCAAATGCGGCATAGGGAATCTCAAGGCTGCTTAGGGCACCGATGCCAATATACAAGATTGCGAAGAACAGGAAGGTAGCCATGAGTCCCATGAAAATACCTTGGAAAGGGTGAGTATAGTAATAGAGAGGTGGTATTGGTTGAGACATACCTGGAGTAAAGTATTGATACTCTTCAAAGAGAGAGGTGGAATTGTTTGATGAGCTCGAGGTATGCGCGGAGTAATCCCGCTTTAGGTCCATGTGGAGCGAGTCTTGGTACGAATCTCCAGAGGCTTCGTAGACTACGGAATCCGTCTCGGGGAACTCTCTCGGCGAGGTGATATAGAGAATAGTATACTTGGATGAGGAAGGAAGTCGATCAATGACATCGGCAAGGAAACCATCTGGCAGAGTCAGTAACACTGAACTGCATAGGTGGACTGTATACATACCGAATCCAGAAAGCTGCTGTGCGCGGTCCGAACCTAGTGATAGCATGGGGAATTCGACATCAATAATCCGGGGGCCCTGCTCGAAGTATGACGGGTACGATCCGGCTTCACGTTGTTAGCCCTGATGTTCTCTGCGGGCTTGTCAAGGCCGTGGTTGGCCACCAAAGCAACTTACAGGAAGCGTCAACGGCGGTAGTCTGAGCATTGCACTTCTTCTCCAAAAGGCCTTTGATCTCCTTGGGTTCCACCAAGCCAGCGACCTCGTTGACTCTCATCTTGGACCGGATTGAGCTGTCTTTCCCAAGCATCTTCGCACCCAAGCGGGGTGCCGACTTTCGCGTCGAGAAGTCGGAACTGTGCACACCAGGCTGGTAGACGACAAAATAATAATCTGAGGGACAGGTACTGAGAGATGATGAAAGGATCTCGAGGAGCGAAGCTCCTGTCTGGATGTAGGCGGAGTTCGTCAGGACCCTAAGGGAGGAGCGGTTAGCTAACCGCAGCAGGAGATGTTCAATCAAGCATACTCAGAAGTTGAGGCGAGGAAGAATGGCGAAGTATCTCTGAAAGCATTTACGGCAGCAGCCCCAAGGGCCAATAGCCCGAACCTGCTGAGATGCATTGTGTTTGGCGTGGGGATGGTCAGGTTGATGATGTTGCCAACGGGAGGTGTCCGACTTGGCCTCGGAGGCGGTCGAGTGCCCCGACCCGCCTGAGCTTTCCATATCAACTTTTTTTCTTGGCTTTCGACGCAGTTTCAACACAACCTACGATATACAAAGTTGTACTTGTTATTTGATTCAAATATACCTGAGATTGGGATTTTCATTCACCATGGGTCCCAAGGATTTGAAAAAGCGCAAAACTGTTGCTGCGCCTAAAGTTGAAGAGGTCAATTTCGACAACGAATCCCGCCATGAATACTTGACTGGGTTTCACAAACGCAAGGTGCAGCGCGCCAAGCATGCGCAAGAAAATGCCATCAAGAGATACAAAGAGGAGAAGAGAGAAGCACGAAAAAAGGTTCGACCGGCTGCAATGTGCAACCAAAGACATCTACTAATTTTTTCTAGATTCGAGAGGACCGCAAAAAGGACTTTGAACAGGCAATGGCGGAGCATAAAGCAGTACTCAAGCGGATGAAGGAGGATGCTGGAGACATCAGCGAAATGGAAGGCGAGGAAGAGGAGGAAGACTGGGAGGGAATTGAAGAGCCTCCAGCAGTGGACTACGAAGCCGAATACGTTGATGAGGACAAATACACAACAGTCACGGTTGAAGAGATGGATGCATCCCGTGAGGGTCTGCTCAAGGCTGCCAAGGGAGAGGACTCAGAGAATGAAGAAGAGAAAAAATATCCAGTTGAGTCAACAGAGAACGACACAAAGGCCAAGAAGAGAAAGCCCCGGAGTGCAGCCTCAGAAGCGGCCAGGAAAAAGAAGAGGAACTTCCGCTACGAGACAAAGGTTGAGCGCAAACAAACAATGTTAAAGCAGCGGTCTGTGAAAGCGAAGAGAGCAAAGGCGCGAAAGGGGGCAGAGGAATGAGGAAACCACATCTTAAAAGAGATACGACATTACATGTGCATAGACTCAGCTTCGAGCATTTATTCGTTAGTCAATTTTACGGATCACAGGCGTTTCACTTGGGAAATGCAATGAAGATGCAGGAAATGGTAAACACCGTAGTACATGTTGCATGATAAAAAGTTATTGCTATCGCAAGCGCTGTATCTGGCCCATATGGTTGGGACCAGTGTGGGACAAACAATCGCAGCATGAAAGACCAGACGGCAAACCAGAGAATGAAGCTTGTACCCAACCAAATGTTTTCCGATATCCTGCACCTATCACCGGTTTGGGACTTAGATGTCGGCCATCTGGGATGCGAGGTCGTCAAGCTCCTTTTTCACGGTGCTGTGTTCCTTGATTGCATCCTCATATCTCTGCTCCAGCTTGGCGTGTTGGTCTTCGAGTGCCTGCACTTTCCGCTCGTAGTGACCGGCCTTAATGTCGGTTTGACGGAGCCTAGGTGCCCAAAATGTCAGTACTGCAATGTGAAAGAACCGGTAGCTGACCGTACTTCTCATTTGTCTCCCTGAGGGTCTTGTCATTCTCCTCAGCCTCCTCCTCAAGGAGCTGCACCCGTCGCTGGAGAGCCTCGTTCTGGGTGTCGTGCTGGAGGCTCTGGCTGGCAGCATCCTTAGCCTCCTTGAGGGCGGTCTCTGCCTTCTCAACCTCTTCCTCTAAAATCTGGTTGCGGTGATTAAGCGAAGTAATCTCTTGTTCCTTTGACAAATTCTCCTGCTCCAACGTCTTGACCTTGGCCTTGAGCTCATCGACGAGCTCGTGAGCCTCATCAGCCTCGGCGCGGAGGGCGACCATGCGCTAAAATAGAAACCAACATGTTAGCGAATTCCCGGTTGGGAAGTGGTGGAATGCTGGGGGTATGCATATATGCATATGATGAGGGGCTGTGTGATTTTGGGAGGCAGTCAAGCTACCCCGCCGGCAGGGGTGTTGAGGACTTACCTCCCTGATCTTGTCCATTTTGTGGGTATCGAAGAGGAAGTAAAGAAGATAATATGTATGATTGAAATGAAGAGTAGTTAGGCTTTCGCTCAGCGAGAAACCGGGCGAGTGTTGGATGGGGTGTGGAAGATGATATGGGGAGAGATTTGGGAGAGAAGGAGAGGAATAATGGCTGACTAGTGAACAAGTAGACAGTACCAGCCCAACAAGTACCAGCTCCACTACAGGGGAAGTACCGTATACTTACTGTGTACCAACTGCGTAACCGTGGTATGGTTAGGTACACAATCCGCTCTTGCTCTACGCCAATCACCGCCCAAGGATCGCCGCGTCTCCACGGGCAACCACTCGACAACACTTGCATCTAGAACTCGTTCGGGCTCTTTATCACTCTCAACCAGATAACGCGACCTTGATTTCTTTTATACGTTGCATGAGAATCATCAGCTCAAGTTCGCCACTATGTTGGCTCTTCGCGACCAGGAAAACCTGGTAAACACCCATCAGACCGCCGCGGCAGCTAAGCCCTTGAACCACAAGCAGCTAGCACCCAAGACACCCGGCAAGCCACGGAACGACGAGAACAACCCGTTGGCATTTGGAAATCGCACCGTCAAGGGTAATGGGAATCGCCAGGAGAATGGAAAACCAGCCAACAACGCGTTTATGACTCCGATGGGTACGCGCGCCTCACGAAAATTAGAGATTTGGAGATGACCGTTAAATAATGACTGACTTGTACTCTCGCTTGTAGTCAGAGATCGCGCTCCTCTGGGCATGAAGACGACCAATCTCAAAGCCAACAACCTCCAGACGCCTGCGCCCTTTGGAGGAGCCACCAAGCAACCGAAGACAAACCGCAGACAGTCGACTGCCCAGAAGATCAGAAAAGCTGCTCCAGTGACACAACAAGCTCAAACCAAAGTCCACGTTGACGCTGCGGATGATGTACCAGATATTGAATACATGCCGCCGAAGCCTAGAGGTACGCTAAGCTCAACTAAAGCTGCAACCCCATAAAGCTTATCTCTGACGAGCTACAGACCTTCCGGACCTTCCAGACGATGTGACGTATGACACCACTTTTCCCCAATTCCGACCGAAGAATCGAGCCCTGGGTTTGGAGAGTGTCTACGGAAAGCAACAAGTTGGCAGTGATGGACTCACAGCGAAACAGCGCAAGTTCAAGGAGGACTCGAAGGCGTGCGACAGGATGGTCGATGATATGATCATGAAACAACTTGAGGACATTGGTTTTGAGAGTTCTGGTGAGAATGAGTCCGCGCAGGCATCTCAGCCAAATGCCATTCCCCAGAAGAAACCAACAACCACCATGCGAAACACTCGTAGTGTCTCGACCATCCGAGCTCGTGACGCTGTCGCTGCACTTAGCGGATCACAGCCAACTGCTGCACCTCGAGTGGCTCCCACCCCAAAGCCACGGGTGGCGTCGTTGGCATCGTCACTGGTCATGCCCAGGAGGCACGCCAGGGTCCCGTCTAACCCCTCTTCCATGCGCAATACTGCTGCTTCTGTCAACTCTCGGACGACCGTCGGATATGCCAAGGGACGCAGTGTGTCATCCACCTTGCGGGAGAAACATTCCCAAACGCAGAGGCCCTCGAGCTCTCAGGTCCTGTCTCCTGAAACTTATATGCAGCTGTATGGACCCCCTCCGCTGGACTCAGAAATGTGGACTCGCTGCAAAGCTGCTGGATGCTTTGATGCCCCGGACGAGATCACCCAGGAACCGGAAGAACCACTGCCCACGTTTGACGAAGATGATGAGGCCCAGAGCTTCCAGCTCACTCTGTAGGGGGTACATTGCGAAAGATACTCAGCATCGAAAGGGGATTACAATTTCACTTCAGTATGGTTATTGATTTGGTATACGGCGATCGGCATTGGCTCATAGGGGTCGGCGGCAAGCCGAAGGATCCCGGCGTTATGGAATAGTGTTAATGTACTTGTAACTCTACAACATAGGTTGTAGCCCTTCAACCGCGGATCATACTGTTTCAGGTGTTCTCCACTCTCATGACGATCTTCTGCCAAGACCCAGACAGGCGAGGTCGCACATGCATTTCCGTCAGGGACCACGTACGCAGTCCCAGATTCTTCCCAGGTTGGGGAAGTGTGAATCCTCCGTCATTCGCTGCTAGTGGGTGTTGGACGATGCAGAGGGCTTACAATGATTTTATGGATCAGACAAACCCACTAGCCTCTTAGCTACATGTATCCTGTAATAATGGTTTACATCGTACGTCAGTGGGAAATAGAACGCATGGATAAAGTAAACTCGGTGTACCTGGCGGGTACCAGTTTCTCAGCTAGCCCGCCCATGGAATGCCAGGTACCAATCACGTACTTCCAGGTACCCTGGTCTAGCCCACACCGCCCCGGAATTGCCCATATCTTCTTATTTACTCTCTGGTCTCTCCTTTTCCCTTCCCATTCCTCTCAATTGACGCTTCGCCATGACGACCATTCATCCGGACTCCATTGAGGAGTTCGAATACATCGTGACTCCGGCCGCCCCCGAGCAGACCAAGCCTGCATTCGATTGTGGTGTCCCAACTACCCTGGTAAGTGCATAGCTAGAGCTATCTGTGAGGGATACTCGATGAGTTCAGGACCTAATTTGCTTGTTTCGCTATTCAGTACCCGACGATTAAGAATGCTCCAGTCCCCGCCGACTCACCCGGCAGCGACAGCTTCTCCAATGGCTTGATGATCGCTCTGGAGATCATCGTGCCCTGGTGGCTCGCTCGCCAGGTTGGTGGAGGTTTCTATACCACCATCTTCTTTGCTCTCTTCACCTCCGTTCCAGTCCTAGTGGCATTCTGGGCTGTTTCTTCCGCCGTTTCTCCTCGCAAGACCGAGAAGGCCAAGTACTGTGGCCGCCCCGTCGAGCACTACCTGCAGTTCCACAGCGAGCACGATCGTGCCACCTACCGCGGCAAGAGCAAGATCCCCATGGAGGTCTTCTACGAGAAGTACTTCAATGGGGAGGTTGACTTCAAGGGCGACGCTCTGGAGTGCCTCGAGTACCGTCACGACTGGGCCAACTTCAAGTTCACCACTGGTCTCTTCAAGCACTTCCTGTTTGGTTTCATCCCCGAGATGCTGATGCACACTCGTTCTCAGGGTAAGCAAGTCTTCATACAGCTCCGGTGGCAATTCTAACACTATTATTAGACGAGGAGCAGGTCCGCGATCACTACGACCGCGGTGACGACTTCTACGCTTGGTTCCTTGGCCCACGCATGATCTACACCTCCGGTATTATCAGTGATGTCAACAAGGAGGAGACCCTTGAGGAGCTCCAGGATAACAAGCTGGCCATTGTTTGTGAGAAGATTGGTGTTAAGCCCGGTGACAAGGTCCTCGATCTTGGCTGCGGCTGGGGAACCCTTGCTAAGTACGCCTCGGCCCACTACGGCGCTCACGTTACCGGTATCACTCTTGGCCGCAACCAAACTGCTTGGGGTAACAATGGTCTTCGCAAGGCTGGTATCGAGGAGGACCAGAGCCGCATTCTGTGCAGTGACTACCGCGATGCTCCCCGCGTTGACGGTGGATACCAACACATCACCTGTCTCGAGATGGCTGAGCACGTCGGTGTCCGCCACTTCTCTTCTTTCTTGTCTCAGGTTTACGACATGCTTGACGACAACGGTACTTTCTTCCTGCAGATCGCTGGTCTCCGCAAGTCCTGGCAATACGAGGACCTGATCTGGGGTCTTTTCATGAACAAGTACGTCTTCCCCGGTGCCGACGCCAGTACTCCTCTCGGTTTCGTTGTGGACCGCCTCGAGGGCGCCGGCTTCGAGGTCAAGGCTGTTGACACCATTGGTGTGCACTACTCTGCTACCCTCTGGCGCTGGTACCGGAACTGGATGGGCAACCGCGACAAGGTCGAGGCCAAGTACGGAAAGCGCTGGTTCCGTGTAAGTTTCTCTCGCAATTCTCTTGACTGAGTCTTTGGTCTTTCTGATGTCGATCTGCTTTCTTACTAACCACTCCATTTCTTTTTAGATCTGGGAGTACTTCCTTGCTTCCTCCACCATCACTTCCCGCCAGGGTGGTGCCACCTGCTGGCAGCTCACCCTTGTTAAGAACATCAACTCCACCCACCGTGTTGAGGGCATCGCCACTCAGCACGGTCTTGCTGGAGCTCGCCAGAACGCCATCGACCGCGCTGGCTCCCTTCCCAAGGCCCACATTATCAAGAAGGACCTTTGAAGGACTGATGTACAACCCTAGCCCTCATCTGCTCTTCCGGGTGTCCATATCAGCCCCCCTCGGACTAGTATGACGTTATTTGAAAGGGCGCAGCGATATGTGGATGTTGTTCTACTGTGGACATATCAAACGTTTAACAAGCATGTATGACATGAGTGACATGAGGTGAGGCGGGGCGAACCTGAATTACATGAGTGGTTGTAGCAGGAGATGGCAGTGGAAGAGAAGCATGGATACGTCAGAGGCCTATTTGGCTGGTCTGCCTGGATATTTATCTCGATATTTATCTGTGGTTGTGTTTCTATATCTTATGTCTCACCCTGTCTAGGGAGGATATCTGCACGAAGTCAACGAGTTCTGTCTTTGTCATGTTATTTTTTAGAAGTCAATGGACTATTTTCTTGAGACCGACGCTCGTACCTTATTCGTTCAGCTCGAATCAGCATGGTTGTAACTCCACTGGGCCTATTTGACACATGTCCAGGTGTCGCATTATGAGTCCGTAATAAGGCCATGAAGCCTGGGAAATTCGTGAGATAATGCAACAGAATTCTAAGGCTTCAACTTTGCTGACATCAAACCCTAATTAGCATCATCTAACAAAGTCTGTCTATAAACGAAATTCAAGTCCCCAATCATTAGGTTCGTCAATCACCAAACCCCCAAGAGAGGCCATAACACCAGCCACAAACACGATTAGATTTCTCCACAGCTAAGGGCCGAGAAGAAAAGAAGGAAAAGAAAAGAAAAGACCAGGATTGCGATCCAATAGCATAAATGGTATATGTAACGAGGGAAACAAAGGCAGGGTAGATGCAGACGTCAGACCAGGTTGACCCTAGGTAAGTATTGGTACAATGAAGAGTAAACAGAAATCCAGAGAGAAAAAAGAAATTCATGCTTGCCGCAGGCCCAGGAATCAAGTCCAAGGGGTCTAAGAAATCATTGTGCATGAGGTTACACACACATATAGCTGAATTGAGGCCCAAAAGAAGACAATAGGCGTACAAAGGCGTGTGATGAGATGGATTCAGACACGCCAGAAAAACAAAAAGAAAACAAGAGCCAAGGCTCGGTCCTCATCTATAGCTGCTCTAGCATTGGATTGGGTAGGAATATCTGGGTTTGGTTGAGGGCAAATATGCCCGAAGACTCGACCGTTGTGTTGGGTCGAGAGGGAGGGTTTCTGTGTCACGTTCTCGTTCCATGTCGCTTGAAGTTATGATCAAAGATGAAAGGCATAGGTAAATTTAGTCCGCGTCGAACTTGTGGTTGTATTCGCCGAGGAGGACATCATCTGGGCCTGGGCCATGGGTATTCCGAACTAGTGCACAAAAACGTGAGTGGAATTGTCCGAAAACCAGGATAATGGTGATGGGTCACACAGTTGGGATCAGGGGGAGTGCGGGCGCACAGGGGGAAAGCATACTCCATTCAGCTTCAGTCCGGAAGAATACCCACATCCAACGTCGTACAACTTCGAGGAACATGAGCATCCAGAATCCGCTTTCGGTTTCCGGAATCCAGCCGAGGCCTGGGATAATACGCCATAGCCATGAGAAACGAAGGACCAAGTCCGCGATAATGACGTAGTGGTATATCTTGTCGGATCCAAAGTAGCGATGCCGGCGGAGTCCGTATGGATGGGCACTGTTGCGACGTTCCGAGGAGAAGAGAGTCATATCCCAATCCTTGACAACATCCCACCAGAAAGAGTAGGCAGAGTTGATAAAAGAGACGATAAATCTGTGGGTATTAGAGAAAGGCATAAAACCAACAGATCTGGAATACAATCTTACAAAAGGCGCATCATGCTGACCTCGCTATATCCACGTAACTCCAGGGGATTGTAGTTGCGCATTTTGGAGGCTATCCAAATGACTGGGAACGCAGTTGCATACTTGAGAGCGTTGGCCAAGTGCTGGTTTGCCTTGTTCGTCTCTCGCCGAGTGACTGTCCGCCGCGCACGAACGTATTCAGTCAGACACTGACGAAGACGAATCAAGCTGGGAGCAGCGAGGATGATCGGAACGACCATTTCACTGCCACAGGCCCGGTTGGGCTTGGAAGTAGCGGCAAAGCCATCGGTGAAGAACATGCAGAAGCTGATATACAGATCGCCGATCACGCGGGCATAGCTAGTGAGGGCATCCGCCAGCAGAATGTCACCAAACTTGCCATCCTTCGACTCGGCCAGACCACCAATACTGATCCGCTTCAGGGTAAGGAGAAATCGGATTCGGCCGGAACGAGACGCGCGATTGAAGGGCCAGATCAGAATAAGGAGGAGGATAATGAACACCGACTGCGGGATCCAGTCCAGTCGCTCCACTAATTCAGGGGACCGGCGGGTGGCCAACCAAAAGACGATGAACCACAGGGCAAGTGGGATTGTGAAGCATGTGGCCAGGCGATAGACGGCGGTGTGATGTGGGCGTTGCGAGGAGGATGTGCGGGCAGGATATTTGATAAGCGCGGGAACGTCCTGGAAGTAAGGCAATCTGGTTAGCCGTCGGCAATACGATGTTTAGGTGAAGGGGGGGGCACTTACAATGTTGGCTTTTGCCAGGTATTGAAGGTTGATACCCCATCCCCAGAAACCTAGCCCGCTTGTGTTAACACACGCCTGATCGGGACCCAACCCCTTCAGACAGGAATTCACCTACCAGCGACCAAGATAGCAGCTATACGTAGCGGCAATGGGAAGATCAGCCCAAAGGCATCCAATTGAGCATGTTGATCAACCGCCATTATTCCATTGATCAGGGGGAAAGGGGGGGAGATCACAGGAGGAAAAAGGGCTAGAGTAACAACAAGGACCCCTTGGATATGACACCAAAAAAGAATGACTAGGGGTGAGTAGACGTCTTTCAAAGTCCGAAAGTTGAGACTTTCCCGGTTTGAAGCCGCTGGGGCGGTTTAATAAGCGGAGGGGTGTGGAATAACTACGCGCCTGGACTAGTCAGAGTCCGAAGATGGTCTGGATCCCCACAGCGAACTGGGTATAATTAGAACTAATCAGAAGCCCATCTCAGGAGAAAAGATTGAAGAGGGAAAGCTTCTACGACGTAAACTAGTTACGTCTAAGAATAACAACGTACACATGCCATCATAATATAGATATGTAGTTAAAAGGTTCTTTGTTAACATTGAAAGACCCCTGGATTTCTGCACAAAAGGGGTACCGAATTAGGTACATTCAGCCACTGCAAGCCTCCCGCATTCATCTGCGACAGGCCTAGGTACCTCTGAAGTACCCCAAGTGGGACCAGTTGACGCTTGCGTCGTATGGTAATTTGGTAATTTGGTAATTGTGTGAATTTGACCGTAACTTTTGTTATGTAATGTGTGGCAATTCAAAGGTCACGTGATGATCTAGACCGGGCAAGTCACCTGATGTGATCATATACCGAGGCATCCCCATCCGAGGATGACCCCGGGGAAATTGTTATCTCCACCAGCACCAGGTACGAAAGCCAGGGGGATTGAGCCTGTGACTCGTCTTGGATATGCACTAAGCCAGCAAATTCATCCGCAATCACACTCAAGCTTAATATCCCTATATCAAGACCCTACAAATTGTCATGGCGGACGACGACTCCCATCTCTCTCTACCAACCCCGAGCTCAGCCCTCGGCTCTTCTACCTCGCACTTCTACCCCTTCGCAACCTCACCAGACATTATCCGCTCGCATGAGAAAGATGCATTTCTCACGGGAAGCCTTGTTCAACAATCTCAAGGGATCGTCCGGGCTCTCCGTGGCGCCCGATACGCCCACACCCACTCCGACGCTATCAAGCATCTCACAGAACTCCTCTACTTCACACTCACAACCGCCATCGGCAACCGCACCCTAGGCGAAGAATACTGCGACCTTGTACAACTAGAAGATGACACACTTCAATTACCGTCAATCGGCCGTCGGGTAGGGTACATTTTAAGCAGCATCCTAGTACCGTGGACACTGCAGCGCCTACTGCCTGCGCTGCGACAGAAAATCCGCAGTAAGCTCGAGCGCAATATTGCACGCCAGCAGCTACGAGCGGCGCAGCAGGCTGGCCTACTCAACAAGCCCCAATTCTCAACTACCCCGACTAAACGGCCGTTGTTCACAAAACTGCGCATTCAGCAGTATATTCTTGAACACTTGGACTCCATCACATCCTTGTCGCCCATTTATGCGCTGAGCATTGCGACTTTCTATTTCACGGGCTCGTACTACCATCTCTCCAAGCGACTTTGGGGCCTGCGTTACGTTTTCACAAAGAAGATCGAGGACAATGAGCAACGCATCGGATATGAGGTTCTGGGTGTGTTGCTAGTTCTCCAGATCGCTGTGCAGGGATTCCTGCATGCCCGCAAACTCGGCGCGAGCATGAATGAAGACGAGAACCAGTTTACGGACGCTGGCCACTCAGCTTCGCAGGCTGGAGCTGTTCTCGCTTCGATTCAAAACCCGTCTTCTATTCCTCTTCTTCCTGCCTCTGTGCCTTTGTATGATCTCGAGGAGGACCCTGGCGCCGTTTCGTGGATCCCCGAGGGTCAGCAGCGGAAGTGCACCCTGTGTCTGGAAATGTTCAAGGACCCTAGTGTTACGACCTGTGGACATGTCTTTTGCTGGATTTGTGTTCGTGACTGGGTTCGTGAAAAGCCTGAGTGCCCTCTCTGTCGACAGGAGCTCTTTCTATCTAAGGTGCTTCCTCTAAGAGGGTAGTTATGTGGGTGATTGAGGTAATAAGTTCTAGGCTAGTGCTTTCATGATCTTCATGGATATCGCTGAAGAGATCGGCGCAGCTGATACATGTATATACACTTGTTTTGGATAAATATATACCCCCTGTTTCTATTCCATTCGAGCATGGTTTCCATGCACTGTAAGATTCGATTGAATTTTGACATGGAACAGCCGATTAATATATATTCCCGTTACAATGTACAATGTAAATGTAAATATAAGTCGAATGCGCGCCGCTTAAGAAGGCAAGACACGAAGTACCACACCAAAGGAAAGAAAGAAAGATTTCAAAGGGCCTCCCCGGATCGAAAGTGTCCAAACACGTGCTCCAAAACTTGTGCAAAACAAAAAGAGTTGGGTATTTGAAACCAAATGTAACTACATGTATGCATATCTACATGGTCAGATCAATGGATCCTCTTCGCCGTTGATTACTTGTCCAAGTGGAAGAACAATGGGTTGGTTGAGTTCAGCGTACGCGGGACGAGGCGGCATTGGGTCCATGGCTTGTCTTTTCGCCTCCATGGTATGGAACAGACGAACGCAAGCATACGGGTCGGTAGCGGCATCTAGAGTGAAAAAAAGGACAAGGTCAGCATACGAGAAGAGAGAGATTATGCAGGTCTCCAAGTACTCACATTGAACCTGACGATAACTCAAAGCCCGAGTCCAATCACCGCAGCGGACGTCATCGCTTTTCTCGAGAGGGAGACCAAAATGCTCATTTACTTGCTCGCTTAGATTAACGCCCCTCTTGTTCACCAATTTGGGATTGTCTTTGCCGTATTTGATCAACTTATACAAATGGCTGAGCTCGAAGGTGGCTTTGGCATCGACGCCGAGATACTTGCGCAGCCGCGTGCAGTCTGCCTTGATGGAAACACCTACTTTCATGACATCGGGAGATTCAACAAGGCGTTTCAATGACGGGGCAACTAAGTCCTCCAGACAACGCGCGGGCTTGAAGAGCGCAACTTGGAAGAGGGCAATACGCTCCTCGTTTGCGATTTGGATCACCGAAACATTGCTCTGAATGCTGTCCATACCGGATGCTTGAGCCTTCCATTCCATGTCAAATCCAACGACTTTGCTCCCGAGGAAGTGCTGCACAGCTTCTTCGGTACTTTGAAGGGTCCGGCAATAATGCACAATGAGTTTCCGGCCATCGGGGCTTTGCTGTGAACTATGGCTCCAGAACTGGGGTGTTGTAAGACTGTTTGCACTGGAACCAATGTCTGAAGATGGGATTGGTTCATCTCTGGAATCATTTTCTTCAACACATCCTGGCCCAAGTTCGCTCGTGGTATCTGGGACCGAGGACGTATTGGTTCCAAGTGGCCGTTCAGACAGGGAATCATCGCTAACACCACTGCTTTGTTGTCGGGTCTGGTCGAAAATGGCATCCGTGCTATATTTCCTCCCATCGTTTGGTCCTGGTTTAGCGAATGGTTTCCTCGGAAGCATAGTTGTCGGTCGTAGTCCGTTTTGTGTCCTTGTGCCTGGGGATGTATGACTGGTTCCTCTTGGAATTGGTGGACCGAGGCCATCAGGATGGGGTTCCGGGCTGAGGCTCACCTCTTTGCTCTTCAATGGCATGGGTGATGGCTTGCGAAAAACCTGGCTCTCTTCTTGGTTCGTCTGGCTAGCAGGCGCATTAACTAGGAACGGGTTGAACTCGGGCGCGTCTAGGTTCCTAGATTTGCTCTTCCAGAGTTTGGGTGATGGCTTGCAGATGACCTGACGGTCCTCCTGATATTTTGGGCCGCTAGGCGCATCGAATAGGGCTGGTTTGGATACAAGGCTGCCCTCTACTGTGTGGTCCTCGGCTTTTATTATCGGAGGATTGGGAGATAGTTCGTGCCCGAGGCGACTCTCCTCTTGACTGCCTTGGTTGGCAGCTAACTCGGCTGCACGCTGTCGTTTAGCTCTCCTCTTCAGTCTCTGGCTTCTCCTTTCCAATGAAGATTTCTTGGATATCACAGCCTGAGGAGGCTTCCGATTGCCCTGACTGGCAGGCGGAGACTCGGAAAGGCCCGGCAATTGCCCTTTGATATACCTTGAAAGACGATTTTGAGATGACCTGATGAAAGCAGCCTTGGCATTGGAAGACTCGGATTCCCCTCGTCCCCTCTTACGCCTGGGCTTCTTCGTCGAAGAGCCCAGTTCTAAAATGTGGGAGTTTACGAAAGCAGCCCGACCAATGTTGCGCTCAATCTCACTGTGGATGAACTCCCAATCCGTTCGCGTCTGCTCGTTGGCGATTGCGATAATATGGGCGTCAGAAGCAAGCCGGCCTATGCGATCGGCCCATTGCTTGAAGCCACGGATATCCTGGCTCAGCGGATTGAGGACTTCAAACTTTCCAGCAAGATAGACAGGCTGTCTCGTTGAGTGTAGCAGGGTTTCCGATCGAAGACGCAGCCAGTTTAAATGTCTGTACTCAGAGATCATTTGTCGAAGATCGCTGCGATGTTTCTGGAATTCCATGCACCATTCGGCTATTTTTGAGGCAGTGTGCGACAGAGTCTGCTCAGGGACCCAAGCCCACAATGCCCCAAGATCACCTCTGAGGCTGTGGTGAAGGTACCAAGCTTCATTGTGAAGCCTCCATTGTAAAACATCGGTCATAATCAGTGGCGCCATTACATCTAACTGTCGCCAGTAGATATGTAGCTCAGGGCTGCGTGCCGGTTTTCGAATCCAAAGACGCTTGTATTCGAGATAGATCTTGTTTGATATCATGAGTGGGTTTTTGTGTAAGTACTGACCCGCCGCTGACCCCTTTCGGGCACCTAGTGCAATCGCAAGTATGATCCCCCTGTCAGTAGCTTCAGGAGAACGTGTGGACGCAGCTGCCCCCATGAAATCCTTCGAACTCCATAGTTCACTTTGTCGAAGTGGATGCAAAGCCATTTGCCTTCTGAGCCAGAATGCACGGTGACGATGCGCAAGTAAACTAATCTCGCGATCACTATGCCAAAGGATTTCTTTGTACTGGCCAAACACCCATCTATCGGTCGGGCGAAGGTTCGAGCGTTCTTGAAGCTCCAGGCAAAGGTTCCTGATGGGGAAATTTCGTGCGTTATGGCTTTTCAGTCGCAACTCATCGTAGTTCTTCTGAATAAGTTCGCTTCGATGCAGAACTCGATCAATTCGACTTCTCGCGGTATTCCGGGGTCGTAGGTAATCATTGTTGAGAGTGTCTCTCAACTGACAGATGGACAGCTCAGAAATGTCGACTAGAGGTGGTAGGACTTTTTTTTGAGTCGCACGAAGGCGCTTCTGCCAACCATAGATCTTCTGGGCGGATATTTCCAGCTGTCTTTTCCATTCTGGAGTTCTACTAAAAACAATGCAGCAGAAATCATGATCAATCATTCGACCGGTATTCTCTGCTTTCCTGACAGCAGCCTGTATTCGGTTCAATCCCAGTATGGAAGATGACAGAGCTATCACTTCAGCGATGTACTTTTGAGTGATTTTCTCTGCTTGTAGAACTGAATCCGTGGTGCCTGAGACCATAGTTACAATTCGCGCGGTGATGGAGCTTGACAGCCTTTCCCATTCAGTCAGACATTCTTGAGTGGTCTTTTCGGCATGGAGAACCTGCTTTGTTATCCGGGAGACCACAGCATTGATTTGCTTTTGAAGTATTGATGAGATAGCTCCATATTCGGCTTCATAGGCTAGATTGGCCTTGATGGATTCATCAAGAAGGTCATCAACATGTTTGTACTTCAATTGGATAAAACTCTCAACAAGTTCCGGGTATGAAGGTAGAGAATTGAACTCATTCTCAATCCGCAGACGTTGAGAGACTCGATTTTTCCCGTCTACTCTCGATCGAATCAAGCTGCCTAAGTCTCGATGTTGGGTGGGGCGCGTAAAAGCCGGCCGGCCTGGAATTCGTTGCACGGTCTTTCGTATGGGTTTTGGCTCTGGGACTTCATCGTCGTCATCCCATATGCCTTCTTTGCGAGTGGTATTGGAAAAGTTCCGCTTTGACTGAGGGGTCATGAGCGGGATGTGTGAGGAGCTTGTATTCCATAAAGACACATATCGGAGCCTTGTAACAGACCGTGCGCAAGTGTCGGGGCCACTGTAGTTTAGTTAGAAAACAGCTATTGAGGCTGGACACAATAGGGCGTGCTTACCTTCGCCGCTCAAAAAGCCCCCATCGCAGTGACCCATGAGATATTGATCCATTGAGTTGACTGCTATGTTTTGCAATTGAAGATCGGGTCTTCCGACTTGCTAAAAGATTCGGGCGCATTGGCATAATGTGTGACAAGCATAGTGGACCAGCCTAGAGCCCCGCGAAGCAATCGAATATGATCGATTTGATGGACAACAAATGATGGCTCAATCTATGGCGATCAACAAAAGTGCAACTAGACAATCAATTGAGGGTGATAGCACTCCATGTTGCGGAGCTCCGAGCGCGCAATCATCTTTCAGAGTTTCCCCTAGACCCCATTTGGCTTAGTCGCCCGGGCCGGATCATTAGAGGTACCGAGCGACAAACGATCACGTCCTTTTCTATATCGATCTTGTCCACGCGGAATGCTCGATCACCTTGCTTTTTAAACCAAGACGCTTCCCAAGAAGAAAAAAAAATATTGAACAGCCCCGTTTTCTATCTCCTGACATCATGGCTTCTCAGCTGCTTCCTCTTGGTCCGTACCTAATAAACCAAGAAAGCCATGACCCCGCTAACTCGTTTGATAGAGCTCATTGATAAGTGTGTTGGCTCTCGGATTTGGGTTGTCATGAAGGGTGACAAAGGTCAGCTAAAATTCAATGGTTGATAACGAAACTAGACCAGCGTACTAATGCTTATGAAGAGTTCTCCGGGACATTGCTCGGATTCGATGACTACGTCAGTGAGTATCCCTGTATGAGAAGTGACGATCTCATCAGGCACTAATTTCGATTTAGACATGGTTATGGAAGACGTGACAGATTTGTACGTTCTTTGATACTTTCATTTTCTAGCTTTGACCTACCCTTTTCTTTTTTCTGTGGTCGTGTTTGGTCGCTTTGACTCCTACGCCCTAATAGTAGTGCTCATTCATCTCTTATCTGATTTGCAAAATTTCCACTGTCGAGATTCTCAACAGGTCACTCTTGTGATTGTGCTCTAGGCTAACTTGCTCTCAGTGACTACTCCGGTGCCCAAATCAAGCTCCCTAAGCTCTTGTTGAATGGAAACAATATCTGCATGGTAAGTTAAATTCGCCTCCACTCCATCAGGGTGCTTATTGACCCTTCAACCAGTTGATTCCCGGCGGCGAAGGCCCCGTGGCAAGCTCATGAGCTTGAGATACCCAGTTCTTGCCGTGACGAAAATAAAACCTTTGTGTATTAATGATACCGAATGCAACGAGATAGAACAAAATCGTTGGATGAATGAACCTCTATGCCAAGCGTGCTTTTGCTCTCTATCCTTTACCCCGCGTCTCGGGCAGCGCGTAGCTCAGCATTGAAGTAAGATCAGGAGCAAGCCGTTGCCAACAACACCCAAGAGAATGTGTACTTCGCCGAACAGGATATTCATCGCAGTGATGGTTAGCAAGAATCCAGGTGTGTCTGCCACATTACAGTCCGCTGAAAGGGACCACTGCAGCCTCCAATGATACGCGAGATAAAGCATGCAGGAACTAGCGTACAGAAGACCTCGGGGCAACCAGCGGTCCAAGATAAGCTCTCAAACCACAAGTCGTTTCTACCTGGAACCAGGGTATCGACGGCTAATCCCGGTCGCCGCGGGCTATTTAAGTTTACAACCGGCTATTAACAAGATCTGGAAGCATCTCATCGATACGAGCAAAGGCTGCTGGCGCGTGCTGATCGGGCAATTCTTCGCCGTAGATATCATGATAGAGAAGCGGACTTCAATTCGACTCAATACCCCACATTCAGTGAGTTATATTGCTAGTCAATTAACTGCTGTTAAGTGGAGATTAATCATGGCAGCGAACTTTAACAAGTAGCTAATTTGGATGTGATCATCTGCGGTACATTGTTCGATGTATACTATAGCCCCTACCTATTCTGGGTATAGACCGGTCAAATACTAGTACCATGCTGTAGAGAGAGCTTACACCAGGGAATCATCACTGGCTCACAATAACATACATGTTGTAGGAAGATTTCAGTAGCCAGTTTAAAGCAAGATAAGCTGCGCAGAAAAGCGGCAGTCAGGGACAGGCAAGTGGGCCACGATGCACACGGGGCTCCAGGGACAGGATGCAGATGCAGTAGCAGCTGTCTGCGGATGATCATGGATATTATTCGAGTATTCACTTTCCCCGAATTCCCTCATTCTGAACGCATCAGTGATGTTTCATTGTCCCGTCTACCCCGTCTTTCCCCAGACTCCAAATTTGACTATGTGGAAACTGTTACCTAACAGATTGTCACCCCACATTTTATATGCACCTAATGTCGACTTCGGATTTAAAATGGAGCCTGTATATTTGGATACATATTGATTATAGTCATGTTTACTATGAATGTTTTTGGCTGAGTCTTGGAGTGAGACAAACTATGGAATACCAAGCGCCTCATAGGCCTAAATGGGGAGCCGACTTGGCCATCGGGAATTATGGACATGCCGAAAAGGAATATTACTAGAACAAATGTATGGAGTAGATGTACTGTACATCAACCTGGGGTAATAGCGGGCCAGGTCGTGGCGGTGGCGAAACTCTGAATGCGCATTGCGTGCTGTTTAGCCTGGGCTGTGCTCATTTATTTCTGGGGATTTTCGTCGGCTTGAGTAACCTCGAGAGCGAAATGTTGGTACGGAGTAATCCGGCGATCGTACAGAGACCATTTCGTGGGGTATCGGATCCTCAACCCTGGAAACCGACAAATAACCTTAGAAGGGTCCACGGGTCCACGGAAGAGCTAACTTTGTGCTACTGATTTAACCGACATTTCACATGAGCACCTGCCTATGTAGGTAGGCAGCAATATTGTACAACATACAACGTGTTCTGTACATTGGACCATAACCCGGGCGCAGCCGCTCACCACGCTTCAACCAAAGACAATCGGTCGGCCAGGGCTCCTGTCACCGGAACACAAATGCCAACCCAGCTCGATGCTACCGTGGCTATCTGTTGCGGGAGCGTGGCCAGTAAAATCGGCTACTGCGCGCCATCAGCTAGGGTCGGCTTGAGTGGCTGACACTCAAGCATCAATTCAATTCAGCTCGAGGCCGAGAACACCAGTGCGTCTTTTTCTCGCCCCCTATTATCTGACCGGGTTGCGTGGGCCAACCAAGTCTCACGTTGTGGACTTCCTTATCTAAGAAACTGGTGATGTACTTGACCCGCAATGCAGCCATGAAAGATAAGACTGTCGGGCGCGTTTTCACATTTCGATTTGGCCGCAAGGAGCTTCTGACACTCGACCTCAGGTCACGGGATTATAACGCTCAAAATCCATTAGCACCAAATGTGATTAATGTCTTATTTGACGGGGATACCCGAATCCAGCTACTGGCCTCCGAAAGTCTATTCATGGACCCAAGATGCGAGGGCATAGTCTTGGACCTACCAGAGCTTCCTGATCGATGTGTTCTGCAGATTCAGCAAAAAAAAATACGAGTCTACGACACCAGGCCAATCATTACACGAGTCTCTAATGAACACCACATGATAATATCTCCCCAGCACACCCTCTTGGCTTCCTGGTATGCTTCTCCCGTGCTTCCATGCATATCAGTGGCACGCCACGAGCCAACCCTCGCTTCGGAAACGCCTAAGCCCAGAGTTTGTCTAAGCACAGAGTTTCATGGGACCATCCCTTATCCCAGGGGACCGCCAGAGCTAAATGTCAGGCGGAAGTGGCGAACCCGACCGAGGCGGTTCTTGGTAGACTCTCCACGATCTTTGGTCTGCCTTTCTTACCGCGTACACAGGCCAAGAGACTATACCGAGGTGATGGCCAGGAGATTCAATTGTGAAAGGTTGCGAACAAGCCTCAGTGGGGCAAATTTCTGGAGCCATATGGCAATGCACGCATATCCCTGGGGCCCATAGCGCATGCGACAGGAACGGGGTCCGTCGGGAAGCCTTCTCATAGGCAAGGGGTGAGAAACGAAAAGGAATTCCCCTCCTGTCCAATGGTCAGTAAGTTAGTATATTATAGAGTAATGTTAGTATGTCTCCAAGGTTATTTTGTCTCAACTTAGGATATCAGCTCTGCGAGAAGTATTCTAGAACAACCCGTGGACGAGACTAGGAAACACCCACGCAGTGCTCCGGTGGAAGCCCGGGGGAAAGAAAGGGAGTGCCCAGGAACCTTGGAATGCTCTTATCTCCCGAGGTTCTTCTGATTGGGCAATGATCGACTATCGTCCATGGGCGGAGTGCGGAGAAACCGACAGATGGGGTTTAGTGGATCTGGGGAGTTGCCGTCTTTGGGCTCCAGAAGCTTGGCTTTTCCCTTGTTCTGTACTCTGTACACAGAATATCTTCCATGGATGATACCAGATAGAGTCACTCAAGACTTGTCAGCATGACTATCCATGTAATACGACCCCGGGAGTCAGGTCGTGGAGATAGTCAAGCTAGGTTACTAAGTAGATGTTGGATATCCATGAGGTGAGATCCTGCCGTTGTGACAGGCTAAATCACGCGAGAGATAGATAAGTAGTCGCGTCTACCAGACAGGGTTCCACATCCTACAATAATTATCTCGCATTTTTATCATAGAACAATAAGATAGTCCGGTGAAACACTATGTATGGTTCCAAGTTCCAAGGGCTTATCTCCCAGTAAAACCTCTGGGAGCTTGACCGTTTGCAGCTTTATTCCGCGACTATACATAAACCATAACTCATAGCCTCCAAAAATATTTTACGTACAGAGTACACGGATTAGACATAAATCTAAATTAAAATAAAAAGGAAGATAATTTGCCCACCTACTCTCGGACTCGGGCGTTGCCCAGAGCATGCCAAGGTTATCAGAAGATTGGAGACGAAAAGTTATTATTGCGGAACTCTGGTTGGTCTAAGCGCATGAAAGCAGATAGACTGGGGTGCTTTTGATTTAATTTGATTTTAATTTGATTATAAGGAACTGTAACAATAAATCATAATCGCTTTTATCTGAAATTGGACTGGTTGTATTTATACCCTCGCGCTCCCCTCCCAAACGTCAAACTTCGACTTGGTTTACCTCTCTGTTGGTTCCCAGACCTGAAATCCTCTGGAACCCTCAGGCCAAGCAAACAGACACTTCTTATTTCTATTCTCCTGAATAATCCCAACAACCCTTAAAAGAGAAATCTATTCACATACACACCATGGAGGAGAAGAAGTTTGAGGCCGTCCAGACTGGCGTGGAGGCCCCCCCGGCCTATGGCGACTCATCTCCAACGCGGGGAGGCATGGGCCAACGAATCCTTGACAGTTTCAAGAGAGACCCCAACCACACCGTCACCGGTCATGTTGGAGCTGATGGATCTGGCTTCGATGTCGAGACTGCCGCCCATAACACCGCTCACTCCCCGCTGCAGCGTCGCTTGAAGGGTCGTCATCTGCAGATGATTGCTATTGGTGGTTCCATTGGTATGCTCTCCACTGATTCTTCTCTCATCTCATTCAACCTCGCTAATTCCATTTACTATGTAGGTACTGGTCTTTTCGTTGGTTCCGGATCTGTTTTGGCCGCCGGTGGTCCAGCCTCAGTACTGATCGCCTATGTCTTGATTGGATGCATGCTTTACTGTACAGTTCATGCTTTAGGTGAAATGGCAGTCCTCTTCCCCGTTGCCGGTTCTTTCGCCCATTACTCGACTCGTTTCGTGGATCCTGCTTGGGGTTTTGCTATGGGCTGGAATTACGCTCTTCAGTGGCTTATTGTCCTACCCTTGGAGATCGTCGCTGCTTCTATCACGGTCGATTATTGGAACCCAGGTGTTTCAAATGCCGCCTGGGTCACTATCTTCTGGGTTGTGATTGTCTCAATCAACCTGTTCGGTGTGCGAGGATATGGCGAAGCTGAATTTGTCTTCTCCCTCGTTAAGGTCATTGCCGTTCTTGGTTTCATGTAAGTTACGCTACCGTCTACTGAAACTTGAATATCTAACTGACTTGACTATTAGTATCCTTGGAATCATCCTCAACTGCGGCGGTGGACCCGAAGGTGGATACATCGGCGCCAAGTACTGGTACGACCCAGGTGCATTCAGGAACGGTTTCAAGGGTCTCTGCAGTGTCTTTGTTAATGCTGCATTTGCTTTTGCTGGAACCGAACTTGTTGGTCTTGCCGCCGCCGAAACCGCCAATCCTCGCAAAT